CTTGTGCTGTTAACAGTGTGTCCTTTGTCTTTCTTTTTTTGCAGCAGCCGGCAGACTTGGTGTAACTCTGCGGTCAAGTTCTTTTCATCTATGCCATAATACCGGGACATTGGCAGTATTTTTTGTTTGTTAAGAAATGCTGTGTGCTTAGGACTGAGGGCTGTCACACCCATTAGCACATTGTTTGCTTCTAATGAAAAGCGTCCCTTCATTTCACTTAAGACTCTGTCAATAATCGGGTAGAACGAGTGCTGTCTCATGTCATCCATGGTGTCGTGCCTTCTCTCTATTGGAGCCTCAACTACAAAACCCTTCAAGTGTTGAGGTGGTTGGGCCTGTCTTTTGTCGCACGGTGGGCTCTGTACTGTGATGCTGGCCTTCTCGCACAGCTCCTCTGCTCGCTCTCTAATATCTGTCCATGAATCCTCTGTGCATTTTTCGGAGATGGCACTGATGACGGACTGGGTCAGGTCTCCTGCTGATGCTAGATCAAGATCGGGTGACTGCAATTGATCAGACATGAATTTAGTCAGTCTGAATAGATCTTCAAAGAGAGTCAGGTGCAGGACAAACTGCTCGTCTATGATAGCAGATATAGCCCTTGCCTCAGCACTCCTGCGTGGGTTTGGTTGGCTGATAATGTCCTGCAGGGTAGCTTGGATGGATGGAAGAGCTTTCTTGATGGCACACAGTGCAGGATACTGGCATGCCCAGCGTGTGTCAGACAATCTCTTAAGCTCTATGCACTGCACTTTTGGTTCAAGTTCTTTCTGCTTTTTCAAAAACATATCATGCACAGCAGACCCAGAGAAAAAGTTGTACAACATTTGTACAGTTTTGAAAAACTCAGCTGCAGTTTTCACTTTGTTGACACAGTCCACCAACACCAGATTAACCCTATGAGCGTGGCAGTGTATGTAGAGCGCTTGTGGCACCTCTTGACAGAGTCTCTGTTGCACACCGCTGTGACATCCTGACATGACAGCTGCGCCGTCATAACACTGTTCGATACATGCTTTGACATCAATGTTGCACTGACTGAGCGTACTTTTGATACTGTTCAGTAGGAAGTCTGCATCCAGTCCATCAGCAGCATCAAAATGTAAGAATTCCTCATGCACATCCCCTTTCTTCAGATAATGCACCACAATAGAAATTTGCTCCTTCTTACTGACATCTTTACTCTCGTCTACCATAAGTGCAAAACACTCTGCCTCCTTCACTTCATCACTGATTTCTTTTCTCAACATATTTGCCATTACAGAAAAAATCTCATTCTGAATGTCATGGTGTGTGTATTTAGCATTTGATGGATTGTCGCTAATCTTTTTGGCTACTGTACTGTCAAACATACTGATGACATTCAGCAGTTCAATGAAATTCCCTCTGTTTGTTGATTGCTCAACCTCAGCATGGCCTCTTTGAGCAATGCCCTGACAGGCTGTGTAGCACAAACTCTCCACCATGGCCTTCATGTACTGCTGATTTTCCTTGACAAGTTTTGAATGTCCTACATCAAGCAGGTGTGATATTTTTGAGCCGCTGTCCTGCTTCATCTTGAATTCAGTCCATGCCTCCATTGAAAAATTGTGTGCTGCACTTACATTATGAGACTTAACTTGCTTGTAGCTTTTCGCCAGTTTCGGAAGCCGTTGATTGTGAATGCTGGCTCAGAATGAAATCCATGCTCACCACCGGGTCGTGAAAAATGCCTGCAGGCAAAACAAAAAGCTGCATCTCTGGTGATGCTGTTTTCCAGCCAGACATGTTGATCAAACCAGTGTACATTGAAACTCCTTTTCTGAGTCCCAAGCATCTGAGATTGGTATGCTTTCAGAATTGGATGTCTTGGCCCTTCATGTGGTTGTTGGCTAACATCCAGGGCATCCACGCAAGCACTGCCAGCTACGTTGTTATTTGCATCATCATCAACACTGGACGTAGTAGCAGCACTGCCACTATTAGAGTCATCATCCTGATCCTCCGAGTCGAGATCTTTTTCGGACTGAGATTCCGTCTCTAAACTTACAGGACTGCTATTTGGTTGTGTCACACGAGGCCGCTTAGGTACTAAGAACCGCTCCATTTTGTCAGCTAAGTGCCTGCCACACTGTTTCTTCAATCACTTCAACCTGGCGGGGGGTCAGGTGCTGCGCTGGGGCAGGACCTACCGTACATAATGTATTATCAGGCACCCTATAATACATTATTTATGGTACGTTTGCATTTCATGGGGGTGCAATGGGGGTGGTATGGGCTTCGCTGGGGCCGACAATGGATGAGCAGGAGCTAAGTAGAAGCCAGGCGATGGATCGAGGAGCTGACTGGTAGGTGAAAGGAGAACACAGACACGTGTGGTGGCTCACAGACAGACAGTCTCTTAGCTGCAGCAGGCAACTGGCGAGCAGGTGGGAACACTCAGGCTGAAGCTTCGTCACAGGAAAACGCCACACAGCCACAGGCAGAACTCGTGGTCGGGGACAAAAGACTGGTGAGTTAACGGGAAACAGACGATGCAGGCAGGTCAGAGGCAGGCAGGGTTGGCAACGGGAGATCAAGCAGGTAAGGAGTGCTGCAAAGTCTTGTATGTGGGCGAAGTACTACCTGGCAAAGGGTGAGTGAGCTCGAGAGGCTTTTAATAATAATAATAATAATGATAATACATTATACTTATATAGCGCTTCTCAGGACACTCAAAGATGCTTTACAAATTCAGGGTCAATGCTGAACACATTTTTTATGCATTTATTTATTGATACATTTTCTTTTCTTCATAGTGTTAGAAACCTCAGTGAATATGATTTAATCTAAAATCAGGAATACTCAAATCTGAAATGTGCAGGTGCTTTCAGTTAAAACCCATGCCAAGTTTTGTGTAAATTCATTCATTCATTCATCTTCTAACCGCTTCATCCTCTTGAGGGTCGCGGGGGGGCTGGAGCCTATCCCAGCTGACATCGGGCGAGAGGCAGGGTACACCCTGGACAGGTCGCCAGACTATCGCAGGGCTGACACATAGAGACAAACAACCATTCACGCTCACATTCACACCTACGGACAATTTAGAGTTACCAATTAACCTAGTCCCCAATCTGCATGTCTTTGGACTGTGGGAGGAAGCCGGAGTGCCCGGAGAGAACCCATGCTGACACGGGGAGAACATGCAAACTCCGCACAGAAGGGCTCCCACGCCCGGGATCGAACCGGCAACCCTCTTGCTGTGAGGCGAGAGTGCTAACCACCACACCACCGTGCCGCCGTTTTGTGTAAATATTTAGGAATAATTAAAAAAAATTAACACATCAAATGACAGCTACTCAAAATAGCATCCACATTTAGTAAAATGACCATCATACTACTGCAAACGAGAGTATAATGTTGTTCTATAGTATGAGCTGTTGTGGTAATGACTGTGCTCATATCTGTATGAGTATGACTGGATGTTTCCAGTCAGCTGGTAGCAAGGCAGTTGATGAAAAAGCATAGCAGATGAAGAAGATAGCAGGTGTAATGAAGCATGGCAGAGGCAGCTGCTGCCCATCAGATAATGCAACTGTGACTTCAGCATCTGATATAACATATTGAGCCTATTTAGACAAGAGGCCTGTACTATGAAGCCAGTCCAATGTACTGACTAACCTGTCACATTGGCTGTCTGGATAATGTAGCTCAATCAGCTCTGGGTTTTCCTACCCGGCCGCGAGCATGTTCATGTGAAAGACATGAGGCTGTTTATTATGAGCAACATCCTCAGACCCATGATTGAAGTAGACTGCTTCATATCATATGAGATTATACGGCAGAAAAAGTGTCTGGGACTGTGAGACAGCAAAATGTAAATGGCATGGGATGTAAACGATACGCTGTAATCTTGTGACGGAAAATGTAGATCATTGAAAATACTAGCCCAAAATTTACCATCAGCTGAGACTTAAATCATGTGTATGTGTCATTCCGCTCTATGTGACATTAGTATGGAGTGTTTTTGCTATTTAGTTGGATGATGATGAAACTACTCTGAATATGCCACATAAAACACTGTAAAGTAATGCCAGACTGTTTCTGCTACTTAAGTAAAGGGTGGAAAAGTAGTTTAGTTTGTGACTGATGAGGTCCGTCTAACCGAAATGTTGCATTTATAAGAACAGCAGCCAACTGACAGTGTGTGGATTATTTTTCTATGAACTTTTTTCTTAGTTCTCATCACACAGGTGTCACGTTATTTTGAGCTGCAGAGATGAACTCAGAGTGTAAAATAGAAACACTGTCACTGCAGACTAAAATAAACTTTGCACACGCTTAAAATCATGTGTTTAGTGTGTAAATTATCTCTGTGAGAAGATCTGTTTTATAAAAACCATTGGCAACAGAGCCCTGGAGCAATGAAATGATTCTGCTGACCTATAACAATAGACTACTCTTTTTTTTAATTGAGATTCCGAACTTTTGTCAAGGGTGTGATTAAGGATGATCACGCAACACTTGGTCCAACTTGACATAAAATGGGTAAGTTATAGAGCTTTTAGCACACTGCCACCAAAGCAACCTCCTGCACTTATTGATTCCTTGTCGGGGATGCATCAGGATTACTTACTTACTTACTCCTCTTCGTCCCCTATGGGACATAAGGCTTCAATGACATGAGGATGCATAATGTTTACTCAGCAAAAGATATGTGGTCGAATGCGTCCCAGACTGCCTCAGCAAGTGGTCTCAGTGATTGGATCACGATGTGTCTTGGTGGTCGTTTATAGGTATAAACAGGCTTCCATGTACTGGAAAAACTGAAAGTTTGACCTGACCTGATCAACACCGATAACCAAATCTGTAACCATTCATCCTGTGGGGAACATGACCGTCTGCACAAAAATTGTCAAAATATTTAGTCTTAAACAAAATAGTGATCAACTGATCTCTCTTCTAGAGCCACAACATCTCAGTGGCTTAGATCAAATTCTGCATTACTCAAAGCACAAATAAAAACACATTTCAGTCTGGTGTCATTTCCTCTGCAGAATTTAATTTGTTGCTTGGGTATTTTGTTACAGATCAACAGTATCACTCCATATACAACTACAAGTACAGTATTTTGTACAGTTCATATTCAAATACATACTTTTCATTGGCTTATTTACAAAACACATTTTTTTATGTACATGTTTTAATATCAGTGCAACGTCACTTTCTTTCAACAAACAGCTTACAAAAAAGTTTTTTAAATTAACACATCTGGTTCAGATCCAACATAAATGAACTTAAATAAAAACAGGCTACAGACACTGACAGACAGCTCAGTAGTAGATCGCACTGCCTGCCAACACTCTATTCTACTCTGTGTGTGTGTGTGTGTGTGTGTTTGGGGTGGGGGTGGGGGGCTTAAGATAATATCCCCGTGGTTCACAAGATTGGTGTTTACCCAATTTCAGCATCAAAATTCACTTCTGTTGGGCAGAAAATCTTTGTTCCTGGATTTAAATTGTGTTATTTTGCTAATACAGTTTAAGCTACAGGTGTGGTAAGCTTAGCATCACACAAGTAGTCCAACAGTGCGAGGGAACATTCACAGCCACAAAAGACAGCTATTGCACCTTTAAATGAAGCAAACATTACAAACTGGGTTCTCAAGACGCTATCTTTAGGGAAATTTGCCCTTTAAGTCATGTGATGAAGTTTTAAACAGACACAAACTGGACCTCGTCTACAGCTCAGTGCAAAGGCAGGAGGGCAGAGGACAAAAAGAACTGAGCAAGTAAACATAAATAGCACTCATCTGTTCGTTTCCATTTGTTCAACAAATGTACTCTGCAAAGAAAAAATAAGTTTCATTCAGTGATAGTTATCTCCTAAATACATCCACAATGACGTTATCTCCTCAAAAATACAGCAGCTTAAAAGGGGCGAGCGCAGAGATCCATCTCCTGTCATCTAAAAGACAAAGTATGGTGCTGCTGACTGTCTTCTGTCTTTTCACAGTGATTAGACTGAGCCCCGCGCAGGAGGAGCTCCATACACGCTGCTACACACTAGACACAAAGCTCTATCACTGTTCTCCACACAGCAAAACCTGCCAGACTAAGCTCAACAGTCACATCAAGAAGCCAAACCTTCAGATAAAAGCTGGAACAGAATTGGGTTTACATAAAACCAATAATTTGACTTAGCACAAAGAAAACAAGTGAAACTCTAAATGTTGGGTCCAGTAATGTGTGAAGCTTTTACAGATGTGACTACAGTCAGACACACACTGCAGCTCTCAACGGTTTTCACAGGCTGTGGTCACTGTTGGACAATAAATGAACAATAAACTGAAACTATGTGATATCAGTGATTCTGTTTATGAGGACAGAAGTTTTGGTAACACTTTATTGTATGGGTGTGGAATTTACAGAGTTTTTCAGCATTTCTGATTTCCAAGGAATCTCCTTAAAACAATCCAAATTTTAATTAAATGTTAAATAAATTAGGAAACATTTTGGAACTGAATTGTCTCAGTTTCCCCTGCAATTAGCACCAAATTATGTAATTCTTTTAGAAGTCTTCCATTGATTCACACTTCCATATAATTTCCTTTATAGGAAATGATTGTGTCTATGGGAGCCTTTAGGGCCAAAGTAACCTACTAGGGTGTGCCAAGGCAAAAATATGGCTATGGGCCCCCACCTATGGGGTACTGTGCCAACCAGAAATACAGGACTTTAAGATCTGGTTTAAATAAAGGCTTTAATGGTGGATATTACAAAAATAAAATAAAAATAAAAAATACAATTCACCAAATTAGCTCTAGGACACTGGGGGATCTGCCCAATTTGCCTGGTTGGTAGTCCAGCTTTGGGACCCTTAAAATCAAGTGTTACTGAAGCTTCTACAGATATTAAACAGGGTGCCATCTTGAAAATCAACACAAGGTGCAGACTCCATTTATAGCAATATTGAGATGTCTTATGAGTGGCCCTTAAGGATTCATTCAGCACCCCCACAAACTGATTTCTGCACAGTGGTTTCACTTACCACCTGGCTGCTGTGATGAACAGGTGTACGCCAGGACACTGTGACATAATTGCAGGGTGTGCTTACAGGAGACTCTAAGTACAAGAAATAGGCTCCAACCTTTGAACTGGAGAGGACAGTAACACTCAGCCTGGTGTTAAACTCCATCGATTAACATATCAAAATTTGTTTGCAAGTGTTTTCTGGAGTTGTACTGCATATGAAAAAAAGCTGTGTGAAGTCTGATAATGTCCTCACGTGATGTCACTTGAGTCAGCGTTAGTTAGGGCTGATAATGGAAATGAAAAAAATCTGGGGGTGGGGAGTTAGAAAGAAGTGAGATACCAGACCTCTGTAGCTGTTTAAAGCTGTAGTTGGTAACTTTTATATTTGCTGAAACTATCACCATATTCACACAGCACTAAATGAGACAGATAATCTGAAAAAAATATATTCCCCAGCCTATTCAACTGCTATTGAAAACAACCAATGACAGCTAAGGGCTTATTTATGCTCAATGTTACATACAGAGACCGAGACGAACAGAGCTTTCTGTCTGTACTCTGCATTCATTTCATCTGTATTTGTGCATGTTTTCTGGAAGCTTATGGATAAGGATGAGACAGAGCACCACCAGACATTGTGGAGGCAGTGTAGCATAGTTCAAATGAAATATGACCATAGGAGAAAACAAAGACATTCAAATAATCAGTAATACATAAATAATATTAGGATGTATATAATGGCCACACAGACAATTATCTACAATGCTGAGTCCACTTAAATGCACAGTATTATGACCTCCTCCACCATTGCCTCGTTTGTTTTTGTGTGAAACCTTTGACTCCGTACTGAGATGCATAATTGACTATCTTGGCTGACTGTGGAGGTGGAGGCTAAAATAAAATCTAGTCTTTTTTTTTATTCAAGCATAGTGTCATAGAGGCGTCTCAGTTTGGAATATGCTCTCTACCAGCATTAGACAGATTAAAAATAGATATTCCTTCAAGAAGTCACTAAAACTAAAATTGATGAATCACATGTAATTTTTGTTATGGCAGTTCTGGAACATTTTTGTGAATTTTATTTTATTATTTTTTAGTTTTTGGTTTTTTTTTACTTGGTGCAGTAAGTTTGTGACAATCTTGTTTTTCTTACTCTGTTTTTGTCCTAATTTTGGGTTGATATTGAATTCTACTGTCTCACTGATATTGTGTGATTTTAAATTGATGTACTTTTAATGTTGTTTTGTGAGTGGACCCCAGGAAGACTAGCAAGCACTTTGTGGAAGCTAATGGGGATCCAAATAAAGAATAAAGAATACTGACATTTGACTGTATCCATGCCATCATAAAGGACAGATGGACTTATAAAAGCAGTGGCGTTTACAACGTTTGGAACAGACAAATCTATTTTTTAAATGAACCTTATGGAGTCTTTGATGCAGCTGTTAATCATGTCAATCACTGCTCATGAACTGCGGTCACACTGTTATTCTAGGCAGTGCTGATCAAATATCAATGAAGATTCTGTTACTGCATTAACTACCTCTCACCTCAAATAATGTCAGAAACATATTTTACTATACTGTCAAGCTGTAAAATGAAAAAGCTGGTCCGTACAGCCACAAACTTTTTCATTTTACTGATAAACAGTTACTAAAATATGTTTCTGAAAACATCTGAGGTGAGAGATAGGCAGTGCAGTGACAGCATCTTGATTCATATTTGATCAGCTCTGCCTGGTTTGACTGCACACGAGCTGTGACACAGCCAGCACATGACTGACAGCTGTGTAAGAGACTCCTCGGCTCTGACTGGTTGTTGTCGGTGTGCTGCAGCAGATTCTAGCAAATTAGAAGCAGTAGGAAGAGGAGGAGGGAAGTGATTTTTTTCACAGACTGGCAGTCTCATGTAAATCTCTCAGAATATAGTGACAGTTTCAGCAAATATGACACAAAGTTATTTTTTATAAAAGTTAACAACTAAAACTTTATCTGTTACTAACACCAAATCATCCGACTGAACTGTCAGCCACTGAGATGCATTCTGGATAACGTAAGCACCAGGTATTGACAAGAAGGATGAATGTGTGGCATGAAAAGGATATCTCTCTGAGTGAAATGCTAAATCGGTGGAGTACTACTGTAAGTAACAATAACATTAAAATGACAGGCAAAATCATTTTGTACCTACAACAAAGTGATCCTCAATGGCCCAAATTTGTCTGGTTTCATATTGGGGAGAATAGAAACATTACCATTACAGATGAGTTTGAATCTCAATGGTTGGGAAATGCAGCAGGTGAAAAGTTCATGTTGTGAAGGTGCCTTGAAGAAAAGCCTGATGCCTCTGCTGTAGCTTTAAGATAAACAGCCATTCTCAACCTGAAGTGGCTACTAAATCCCGCCTTGACAAAAGAAGATCACAACAATAAAATAAATCTTTTATAAAACAACGTCTTTGCAGAATCACAACCCCCCCAACCCTGCCCACCTTACCACAAAAAAAAAAAATAAAATAAAAATCAAACAATCAAACATATACTGTATATTATTCTTTTAGCATCTCTGTTTTGAAATCATGGCATCTGTCCTAATCAAACCGAAATTGATATTCAACCTTTTTGAGTTTCAGAGAAGTTATGGGTACACACAGGTTAACATTGCACAAATCACCATTGATATTTGGCAGAATAAAAAACAGTTCTGGCAGTCTGGGGGTGGGGGTCTGAAATGTGTGTACCATGGCTCCTATATTGGAAGGAAGCATTTTATTTATAATTATTAATACTGTCACAGACTTTTAGGGTACAGTTGGCCGACAGACTGCAGGAAGCGATGAGGTAGCATGTGACTTATGTTTTCCCTGGTGACACTATCACTAATGAAAACCTTTGGAGAACCATTTATTAAAAGCCGACACAGTATCCAGTATACTAGATACCAAATTTTCTGTGGCATCAGATATGACATCAGCACAGGTACTTTAACTTTTGGGCCCTGTTAAACTTGGCATTTAAAACCCAACCTGTATCCAATTAGTGGCCTTGCAATTACACCTGAACTTTATTCTGTGGCCTCATTATTTTCCTTCCTCAGTAAGATACCCAGGCTCAGATCATATGATAACTCCAAGTGTCTTTTTTTTCTTATTTTGACATTACAAGTGATAAATGCACAAAAACAAAGCAACATCACTTCATGACTTGGCCATACTAGCATACATTCAGAGATGCTTTAGTATGCAAGTATATGTTACAAGTGTGTTATGGCGAGGGTTGTTCACGAGGGAAGGAGGGGGTTTGTTTTGCTGGGCTCAGCAAAGTGCACCAGTTTAGTGCTTTCACTGGGGCTTCATTGTTATCTTGGCAAACCTTTGCACCAAATTGTGTTTGCTATCAAGTGAAAGTGCTGTGACGCATCTCTAAAGACAGATACCACAGTTCGACTCTAGTCATTAGCAGTTTGTGAGAATTCTTCAGAATTATCTTTACGTCTGGTGCTTCCTGCTCAGAGCAGCAGGTGGGAGCAGAGAGCAGATGTAGTGATAGCTGAAGGAAGTCGAGGTGCCATCACTGGAGGACACAGTATTTTTTGTAGTCGGACTCAAAGTCTTCATCCATGCTACTGGTGTCAGCCATTTTCTTGCCATCGATCTTTGGCAGGAACTGGGAGTAGTCGACTCCCTGTTGTTCGTAGAAGAGGATGTAGGCTGAGTCAGTGTCGATCTCCTCTGAGTGCACTTCCTGGAGGAATTTTTTTAAACACAGAGGGGATGTGATTCATCTTTTTAAGGTACATGTCAATGAACCTGTTAGGTATTGTTACAAGCAAATGTGTGGTGGTATGCATCCATTACTCGGATGAATTTCCAAATATTACATACAGTGGATTTTATTCCAATGAGTTTGTATAGATGTGTTTTCACTTAGACATCTCTATTCTGTTGATTTGAGTAGAAACTAGAATTGACGCTGTGCAGTGGTTTGCCTCTGTGAACCAGTTTGTCTTACAGTTTACATCCATGTCTGTGAAACAGGGGTTAAAGCAAGAAAAAATTTTGTGCCTGAAATGTGGAGCACGGAAGATTTGTGTGCCTGAAATCTGAAATCTTTTCCAGAGCAGGGGGCTTGGTTTTGCGGTCACAAAATGAAGAAATAGAAATGTATGTGTTGCAAAGGAACGTGTTTATTATCAAAATGAACAAAAAGATTATAGCTTTAGTAGTTACTTTTCAGATTAAACTTTTATAGCACAATGAGTTTATAAATAACAATTAAACTTTCAGTGGTTACCAGACGTTTTCACTTATAGCTCCTACATCTCTTTGTTGCCTTGGTGCTATTTATTTTTAGAAGCTAAATCATTTAGGCTGTTTGCAAAATTGTATCGCGCTTGATGTGAATTAAACAGGCAGTTGCGTCGAAATCTCGCCTCTGGGCAAGCATGTCATCATTGAAATGGATCATATAATGTTGTGGTGGTGACTTTAAAATTTCAGCATAGAGGACTTTTATTGCAACTTTCGTTTCTGTCTGGTTTCTGTTACCTTACCTTCAAAATTACCGCTGGCTTAACGGAGCCTCTCCTGCTCCGTCTGAGCTCTGTGTCTCAATGTGACATGATGTGAAAGCATGCACAGGCGTCAGTGTTGATTGGCTATCACTTGTGCCGTGTAACCAATCAGAGGGGGCTGTAGGCGGGACATTGTTACAAGGCCCAATGCAGTAGGGACTGCAGGCAGGGAGGGAGACGATCGATTATTGATGAAAAAACGTCCGACGCCGATTATGGTAAACAGTAGGTTGTGTTTACTTGCACACTGTGTGCCTAAATCATTTTCCCGGTTCGCACATATATATATTTTTAGGGGCAAATGCGATTGAAATGCTCACACTGCGGAGCACTTCTGCCCGTGCCGGACAGAAACTTTGCCATGCTGGAAATCCGGCACTGTGCCGGAGAACTTTAACCCCTGGTGAAAACATAGATGCTTCACACACACCTTCCCTCCGGTAGCACAGAAGATCTATACAATTAGTACAGTTTCAAGGTGGACACCCAAGATTAGTGTCACCAATTCAGTATCTGATAGAATCCCCTGATGTTTTTGCAAAACATTATGATGTCACAGTGAAGTTGACCTTTGACCTTTTGGATATAAAATGTCATCACCAAATCATTATATTCTATTTCATTCCTCAACATTTGTGTCAATTTCTTCCATAATAATTGCCTGAATTCTTGAGTTATGGGCAACAAACATGTTTTGTGGGATCACTGTGACCCTGACCTTTGACCTTCAACCACCAAATTCTAATCAGTTTATTCTTCAGTCCAATTGGACGATCGTGTCAAATTTTCAGGAAACTCCCTCAAGGCCTTCTTGAGATACTGAATGAGATGGATGCAAGGTCACAATGACATTGGCCTTTGACCACCAAAATCTAATTGGTTCATTGCTGAATCCAAAGTCCTGTTTCCACCAAACACTTTGGGTATAGTACGTCTGGGACCGAAGTAACCCATCAGACATGGTACCTAGACCCTTGGCTCGTTTAGTGTTTTCACCGTAAACAGTACAATATGGGCGGGGTTGTTGTCACTCACTGCTCTGTCCAGCACTCACTGTATTTCCTCATCAGTGGTGATGCAGAGGGAAGTCTGCACTTCGTTTATCGTCCAGAGAGTGAGGCTGCATGCCAACATTTTCAGAACAAAATAGAACAGGCTGCAGTGAAAGTCTCTCTCTCTTTGTTTTAAGATGTATTTTGGGCATTTTTGCCTTTAATGGATAGGACAGTGTGGTGTGAAGGGGGGAGAGAGAAGGGGGACAACACGCACCAAACGGCCGCGGGTTGGAATCAAACCCAGGCTGCTGCAGCAAGGACAGAGCCTTTGTACATGGGGCGCCTGCTCTATCCACTAAGTCACTGACACCCCATGAGTCTCTCTCGATTGGATATTTAAAAATAGCAGGTCTGTGCATTTAGTCCTCAGGCAAGCACAGGGGATTAGTGTGTTGTAGCCCACAGGAATGATGCTCCACAATGCTTTTTTTTTCCTCCAAGTGAGGATTAGAATATATGCAGTTCACATAACCCAGTCAAAATATATACATATTTTTAAACACTTGAAGATCAACGCATTACTTCAAGTGTATGTTATCCAAGAGAAACAATAAAAACTAATGGAATGGTCAGAGCTGTATTGAAATTAAGGTGTGCTGATGGATTCACGTTTTCAACTCATGCATTGAGTAACATTACAAGTAAATGTTCCTCCTTAAAAGTAGCTGGCAGTTAACCCAGTGAATTAAGTTAATTTTTTCTCAGTCTACAAGTCCATTCTCACTGAGGGCGAATATCCGCGCTGATTATTCTCACGGAGAAAAATATAAAAGTTGATTTCATGGGTTCTTATGGAAGTTTGCACACCGGGGCGGAACTTTCGTGCGGTGAAAAAAGTTTCCGCCCAGACTTTGACCCCCCGCGGAATTCGCCGGCGGTACGGAACTACACAGCTGGGCCAATGAAATTGTTTGTTTATAGTCGCGCAGACCCGGGAGAGTCCGAAATCCAGCCAGGCAGGACAGTATGGGAGAAAGGTTGATAAACCTCGTTTCACAGCACCGCGTCCTTTTTGATAAAAGACGGGATGATTTTATGAACAATGAATTAAAGGACAACGTCTGGCAGTCCATTGTCCAGCTTGATGGCTGCGGTGAGAGTGGTAAGCGCTAAAGCAAGTTGATGTTGACGTTTGTTAAACATTAGCTTGCTATCTCGCTGCTGCTGCTGCTACTCTCATCCATGTTCACCCACACCCGTTCACACTGTGCGGAATTGGAACACAACAATGCGAAATTCCGCACCGCGTTGGTACCGCGCCTGTGTATATGGTTTGAATGCGGAAGAGCGCTGTGCGAATATTCCACAGATCCATCCCGCATTTCCGCATTGCGGCAGTGAGAATGAACCTTACAGCTGCTGCGAGAGGCAGCAAAACATCCTTTCATTTTATAGTTTTATTTTACAAATGTATGTAAGACTTGCCACTGTATGAACAGTGGTTACATAAGCCTCAAAACCAGCCACAACTCAACCCTGAGCAAAATTGAAGTTCACTAGTGACCAATTAGCAGACTGCAGCGTTCACAGTTCCACCTTTTAGTACCGATCTGTGTGCTAGGTACCCCAACAGAGGGGTGACTAAAATGGAGCTGGTAAGGAACGGTTCCATTGGTACAATCCACAACTTTTCACAGTGGAAATGGAAAAAAATGCGTATCAAACTCAACTGAACCGTATCAGACTACTTGGTGGAAACAGGGCTCAAGTGAACATTTGTGCCAAATTTGAAGAAATTCCCTCAATGTGATATCATGTCCATGAGAATGGGACAGATGGACAACCTGAAAACATAATGCCTCCAGCGCAGGCTATTGCCTGGACGAAGGCATGAAAAAATTCCCTTTAACCTAACTGACCCTTAACTGCCCTGCCCGGAGTCTTGACTCTTTTGTCTGAGGAACCTGTGCCTGTCAAGCTTTCCAGCCTAGCACTCAATATGTGCAGCATGCCCTGGACTTGAGACAGAGTTATACAGATTGATTTTTAGTCGCCAACCATTGATATGGATGGCTCTAATGACAACTGTCACTGACAGATTACATCACTGTGGTGACCATGCTAATAAACATTAGCTTGGTTGGATAGTCTTTCTCCAGCTCTCACATATGAAATCAGAACCCTGGAAAAAGGATGTTAAATATGCATTTGATGGCTAAATATGTGATGTAATGGGAACTCAGCACCATGTACTGATGCAAAACAGACTGAAGCTGAAGGTCCCAAGCAAACACTCAGGTCCCTCATCAACTGGTGAAAAAAAAGTAGCACCATTGTTCTTGCAGGGGAGAGCTACATACTGTACATTTTTTGTACACCATAGAAAAAATTAAGGATGAGGAGTCACTGATGTGTTTGGCAAAGTCATCTTGGGCATACTGACTAAAAATCCAATACAGAGCAGAAGCTGCTAGCATTACCCTCAACTTTGACTTCATAGCATTGTGCTGCTCGGTGAATGTGTCAGTCCTGAATGTTACTTTTTCTAACTCCCCAAATCGTTACGTTAGCTAATATTATACTAGTGTTGTCTCTTGGCTGTGGTGCTAAAACTAACATTAGCCACTTACTTTACAGCAACTATGGAGATAGATTTGTCTCATTATTTGTTTGAGCCGATGGACAACCCATGTGTTAATGTGTAATCTGTATATTTAAAACACCTTCCACAAATACAAATAAAGACTTTAATAGGTGTAAATAGGGATGCACGATATTGGATTTTTTGCCAATATCCGATATGCCAATTGTGATGGTTACAGCCACACATGGTAATGTTTTCCCAAGCCACACTCTGTAAACTCGTTATTTTGTTATCTACATAGGTTACTTTTATTTATGGTCAACCATACCTGAACAATTCTCATCACACAGTTGGTTTGATTTAGAATTTGTTTATTTGCTTTCAACCTTAAACTGTTTAAGTGTACGCAGTCTAGCCTTGTAGGGTTATACAGGCAAACTGTTTGATATCAACCATGTGTTTCTTTGTCTTCGAATTACCATAGTTGTTTAGGGAAGTCCCCTGTGGAGCATAAGGCGTGGCTGAGGACTCTTAAATCCTGGAGCAAATTCATTAGGCCAAACCATGTGCTGCCATGTCACGGGGGATTTGGGTTTTGTTTTGTGTTTAGCTGTAGTAGCTGTCCATTTTGGTTACCCCTTGTGTATTATTTGGTTTGGCCAAGCCACTGTATGCTCCCTTGTGTGCCATTTTGACATGTCAGTGTGTTCAGTTAACACCTTGTTAAGTTGTTATATTTAGTATAGTTGTGTTATGTTGACCTCTTTAACTCATCTGTTCACCATGGCTTTTTAATTCAATAATCCATCTCATGCCCAGTGTACCATTACACAGTTTCTCTGCTTCCTTGTGTTGTTTGTTATAGTTTTGTTGCTTTTCTGTACTGCTTGTGTTGTATTGTACTGTTCTGTTGGTGTTATTGTTTCATTACTATGTATTATAAAGTGACCTTGGGTTTCTTGAAAGGCGCTATATACAGGCATGAAAATGGGTCAGGGGTGGAAAAAGGTGAGAAGGATACGAGACCCGGCACCTGCTAGGGGGTCCCGGGGTTATGCTCCTCAATTGTTTTTTGGTGGAAAAATGAGCTTCCAAATGCTCATATCTGATTTCTTTTAGATTTACTCTAGTGGTGGGCACATGCAGAATTATAAGACTGCACAAACGTATGAATGTATAATTAAGTGCAAATAAAGTATCTTTACATGTTCACATATGTTGTATAAGAGACGAGACCAGGGGCGGACTGGGACACAAATTCAGCCTGGGACATTCAGGCGCACCGGCCCACACACCGGCCCACGCACCAGCCCACGCACCGACCCACACGTTTCTACCTATAATCCTCTATATGCTTGTACACACTACACGAACGCTGTCCTCAGAATCAACTGCATAAGAAAATCAGCAGTTATTGTTTAATTCCAGACTATAAAATAAATGCAATAATGAATTGGCCACAAATGGCTATGTGCTTATTATTCAACTTCAAATAAGAGCATATGACTCTATTCTAATGCATCTAATTTTATGCACAATATAACTGACTGCCCTGCCCTGCCCAGCCCTGCTCTTATATTACATAACCCCAGTTTATATCTCCATGGCTCACAGCCATGAACTAAGGAGGTATAAATTGGGCAATAGGCCCTATAGTCAACTTTTAGTCAACTTATTACTACAACAAAAGAATCCCACTTAATACTACTAAAAAGTTTTTCCTCTGGCTAAAATGTAATGCATAGTAGGCTGTGCCTTCACATTGCACCTGTCATATTTCTGGTCTCATCCTCCTCCTCATCACGACTGGGGTTAGTTTGTCCCTCAGCTTCATTAGGGACCGAGCCTAGAGGCAGAGGACTGCTCAAGGAGCAGTCCTCGCCGAAGGCGAGGACCCTCTTGTTGTTCTTGGGACTGGACCCTACAACTATATGTAATAACACTGACCAACAACAATATATCCTCTTTTTCCTTCCTAATTTTAGGGATTATCAAGTCTCTTCTGTAGTGGAATTAACATCATTTTATGCATGCATACTTATGATGGCCCACCAGCAGATGGAGACATGAATTACAGTACCACTTAATGTATGTAATATTCATTCATTGTGCCAAATAAAAAAGCTTGCTGGCTGATTCTAGTAGTTCCTTTGAAAGCTGATATTGGCCGATACCGATAAGGTGACGATAGTATCGTGCATTCCTACTTGTAAACTCAAAAACCTATTTTGTAAATATAAAAATGTTCTGCAAATAGACAAACAATTTTTTTTTTTTTTTTTTTTAAACAGAGGCTAAAAACCAGATTCATGAATATTTGTTGAAAAGTTATTAATGTTAGGAAGATATTCACAGATGTTATTTCATCTATTTGTAATTTCATTAAATTTTTTTTAAATATGTGGATTTTGTTTTAGTATTTGCAGATCCATTTTTATATTTGCAAATTAGTTTTTTGGGGTTTACAAATCTTTTTTTGTATTTGTGGAAGGTGTTTTATATGTACAGATTACACATTAACATATGGGTTGTTGATCGGTTCACTCAAGTAATACTGAAACACTTTTGATTTTGCTCTTGTATTTTTGATTTTGTAAAGACGGTAAAAACAACCCTCCTAACTTATCACATTAGCATATTGCTTCTTTGACTGCCTCATGTTCGCCACTAAAATCACCAAAGCCTCTGGAAAAAGCTTAGCACGCTGAGCCATGCCTGTTTGCACTGCTATGGGTGGGGTTTAACAATCAATTACTTTGAGTCAATATGATTAAAAACGACAAAAGTCCAAAGGGGACTCTTTATTGACAGTGTGGATGAATGTGATACTATATGTTCGGCCAGTTACCTATGGCAATGATCAAAATACAGGTATGAAAGGTATTCTATTAATTTTGGAAATAAAAAATGAAGTGTCTTAATGCATTACCTTACAGCTGCTGTCATTGTAACAGTACCATTTCTCATTAGGGTTTTTGGCATACGTCACATAGTGGCCTCCTCCCATGATTCCTGAATGGCACTGATGAGATAAAGCAGTAAAATAATTTTAGATTTGTTTCAAAGCTTAATGAGGAAGCCTTAAACTACTTGTATCACAGTGACATCAATGTATGGTACTTACTGATATTGCATAGAGGTTGTAGATGGCGTCCAGACACATATTGTCTCTGTGCTGGAGCAGCAAGTTGTCAGGGTCCATGGTGCTCTCTGTGCTGCAGTCTGAGCTCAGCCCGTTGCTGTCACCGTTCACCAGGACCACGTCACAGTGGCTACTGGATGCCTCAGTACTGCACGATGACTCTGACGTGATTGCCTCTCCGGATCCAGGAAGGCCTGATATTGCAGCCCCTGTTGTGCTCCCCTCTTTGTCTGTCTGTGGTGCGCCCTCCCGTAGCTCAGTTTCAGGATTAGCAGCTCCATCCAGGTTTTCCTTGCTGTTAGAGAGACGGTGTCTGCTGCCCAGCTGGGGCAGGCGTAGCCGGCCTGACCTGCGGCCTCCACTGCTGGTCTTTGGGCTGCCAGAGGGGCTGCTGGTCCGACTGAGAGAGGGTGCTGACTTCCTGCTAGAGGCAGGGGAGGCTGTTGGGAAACCACAAAGTAAAATTTACTTCCTGCACGGGTGGCCATTAGCTGCTTTGCTTATTTAAACTTCAGTCTATTTTGCCTCACATGCTTTCATGCTCTTAATCATGCTCTTAAACACATAACCAAAAAACACGTCTCTTTAAAACTGTGAGTTGTATAAGTGCATGAGTTGCTTGCATTAACTAAATATTAGGCTTAAATCTACACGTGGTACCTTTTGGGAGGTTGAAAAAGCCAGCGGGGGCAGAGATGGAGGACAGGTTGTCTTCTCCGAGCCTAAGTAGATCCTCGCTCTCGCTGCGAGAGTGAAGGCAGTGCTGCTCCAGGTCTCTGGGAGCCAGGAAGGCGCTGGGGTCAAAATTCTCCCTTGGGAACTTGACAATCTTCTGGGATTTGATCCAACGACCGTTTACAAATTGAAAGCGCTTCAGGTGGACAATCTGGGAAAGAGAACACACGTCATAAATACTGATCTGATCTTAAACTATTTTTATGCAAACAGTACATTTAGCTCTACTTAAATAATCTATGTGAGGCCAGAGCTCAGGTCTGACACAGAGTTAGGGCTCATTTAAGCTCAACATTATTTACATACACTGACATGGATGGAGCATTCTGTCATTACTCTGTTGATTTCTTCTGTATTTGTGCAAGTTTTCTAAAAAACTTACAGATACTGACAAAACGGAGCAGTGTCACCGGAGACTGTGGAGGCAGTGTAGTGTAGTTTAAGCGAAATACGACCGTAAGAAACGACAGACATTTAAAAAAATGGAGCAATGGGATGAATCAGTAACAAAGTGAAAAAAATCCTCCATCCACATGTCACAATGTATTTAATGTCCTCACACACCACCGTCTACAACTCTGCCTCTGTTAAAAGGTACCAATATTATGACTTCCTCCATCTTCGCCTAGTTTGCTATTGTGTGAAATGTTTGCCCTCTAGTGCCATCTATTGGCTGTATCCATGCCATCCTAAAGGACAGATGGATGAATGATGGCATTGATGTTAACAATATTTTACAACATTTGAAACAGACAAATCTATTTGCAAATGCAAAGGGAGTATAAATGAGCCCGCACAAGAGTGCCACTGACCAGCATGGGTGGCAGCCTCCAGAGGTCCAGCTTCTTAGTGGCCAGCCGGTGCGTCTTGCACTTGGAGCAGTAGTAGAGCTCATCCTCACCCAGCTCTTCCTCACTGGTGAAGGCCTTTAAACAGCTGTCCAAGCTGATGGGCTCAGCTTGGGCTTGACGGGACTGCTCCACACTGCAGTGCTCCTCAACAATCTGGAAGGAGACCATGATGGTGATGATACTAAATAGGGTGGGGATGAATTCACTCTATTCTGCCTTCTGTCTAACTCTTTTTTACAACCAGTAACTGCTAGCAGATGAAGGGAATACACTCTAAAAAGGTACTTCATGGTGTCTTCTCAGGCAAAGCTAAGTGTTTTCTGGAGTCCATCTTTTGAGAGGAGACCATCTAATTCTGTATTTTCTGGCACCTAACCATTTATACTTTTCTGAATCAGCAGGCTATGCAAATGATCTGACAGGTGTATGTGAATACTGTTTTTAAACTGTGTTTTACTACTAACTTGTCATGTTCATCACAAAATGCAGCTGAAGCAGCATTTTTACAAATACTCAAATTGACATGTACCACAATACTTTCAGTATGTAGCTTTAATTAATTACACATTACAGTAACATTACAACCTAATGGCACAGCCCACAGGTCCCTGGATCCTGGAGCCTTTATTAGATCGCACTCTGAAGCTGAATGAACTGAGCATTAAAGGGATAGTTCAGATTTTTTTTAAATGAGGCTGTATGGGGTACTTACTCATGGTCAGTGTATTTCATACAGTAGAGGTCAGTCAGCATGCCCCCAATTTGGAGAAGCAAGGAGGAATCTGACACAAAAACTAAGCACTCTACTGCTGTGGAGTGGTCAGCAACAAAACATATTTTAGACACCTAAAAAATCAATATCAGTTGCAGTGTATGCTATATTGAGAGTATTGTCACAGTTTTACCTTTTCATCAGACAGCCTGTTCTGATGGGGAGGCCGATAAAGGCTGCAGCTCCCCATCTATGCTCTCATCAAAGTCACCAGACTCTACTGACAAAAACAATTATTTTAGCTCTCTGAACAAAGAGGCTGCTGGTCTACAGCTGCCTCAATCAGTTAGTTTATGTTCAGTTCAAACAAACTCAGTTCCATTTGCGCAGTTTTTACGGTTCATTTGGGCCGGGGTGAAAGCTGGCAATTGAATCCTGGTGCGGACCAAACAACTGAACCAAGGCGGCTCGAAAAAGTGGGTCTCAGTCCACTTCCAAATGGACTCTGGTGCAGTTAATTTGTGATGTGAAAGAAAAGGAACCAACCACAGGATTTTATGAGAGCAGATATGTGATTTTAGCATGATATCAGCAGTTGCATCAATAATAAATCCATCTGCTGTTTGTGAAATCTGTCCATGACCTCATAACTGATCCTGATAGACGCCACGTATATCCCATAACCTATTTATGCTAATGCGTACATGTAACCATGGTAACACACATGCATGGTCAGTGAGGGTACTTTCCCTGATAAAAAAGCTGTCAAAACTGCCATCATTGTATCCGACTGCGTGTCCATTAAAAAGGGTTTGACAGTGATCCCACAGTATAAAGCCCCAAATCATTACTGTACAAGGTGCATGTTTTTCATCCTGTCTCTGTGTTAGTCATTATTCAGTACATGCCATTGATATGCAGTCTGATAATAGCCTACTAATAATACTTACAATCAGTTATTTCTCTATGAGCTCTTTGTGAAACCAAAGAACAGAAATATAAACACCTTAGAAGCATTTAAGTGATGTTGCATAAACTCCTGATAGTCACCAAAATTTGATTTCCCTATGTAGGTCCTGATGCTGCAGGATGACAAACACCAAAACTGTATAATCAGCGTGTTACCTGTCAGTCTATAGAACTTCCTGTTTACTCCTCTTGGTACATTTGCAAAAAGTCAGTGCAAACAGGAACCAAAACTAAAATGCAACAATGTATCATTTTTTCCCTCTGGTGTGGACCACATAAACCCAACTACAGGTGTGATAGCACTCTTAAACACCACAGTCACACAATAACACAAACAAATGAACTTTTGGAGGTAGTGGCAGACCAGCAGCTCCTGCGTTCAGTCATGTTAAATCACTAGTTTTCTCAGTGGAGTCTTGCTTTGAGGAGAATGATTATTGGCTTAATTATCCTGTTTGAAATCACTGTCTGACATTAAGGTGAAGCAGTGAAAATATTTTAAATATAACGTGCACTTAAAACCGATATTGATTTTTTTAGGTGGGACCTTTTATTGTGGCTAAAATATGTTTTGTTGCTGACCCCCAGAGCAGTAGATTGCTGAGCTTCCATGTCTGACTCCAGCCTGCTTCTCCAAACTGGGGGTGTGCTGACTGACATCTACTGTTTGTAATATACTGTCTAGGGATAAGTACCTCACAAAACCCCCCCTTTAAGCAGCTCACTGGTAACACTGTATGGATGAACTTGGAACTAAAGCAGTTTCTGTTTCCCAGATTTCCTTATCTCATCTAACTCATTTCTTCTTGTCTCTTACATAATAACACAAGACTTTGTCACTGTGAACCACAGCCATAAATTCATAAACTGCTGGAAAAGTCTGGAAACGAAATAGGCCTTAATGTCAGTAGGATGCAGGCAGTAGGACAGCAGCAATGGAACTCACTTAGCAGATCTTGTTTCGAGCAATCTGCAGTAGCAGGGTCATTCTCACTTCCTACATATTGTCAAGATTATCTCATTTTCAGGCTCATATATTTCTCAATAGATTATCTTGTTTGTCTACAATTATTAACTGTAGTACAAAAGACATAAAAATAAAAATGGTGCTGATGACAAATACTGTATATCCAGTATGGGGTAGTTAGAGGCTGACATTACAATAAAAGAAAGAAAAACATTGTTTTACGGTTGTAACCATTTCCATTGCACTTTTCTTTATGATAAGGTGAACAGAAAATCAAGGTGAATGGCCGATCATTTCAGTGTGTAAGCTAAGAGCTACACACTCAAAGATAATATCTCTATAAAACAATATAGAAATGTACTAATTTTTTCAGTGAAATCCCTTGACTGCTTTTTATTACACTGGTGCTCACGGCCAGGGAGAGAGAGAACAAATGTGTGTCTGTTTTACCCTCTCTTGGGAGGTCTGGTAGCGGAGATGCAGGGCCGTGGGGTCCCAGTCCACAGCTATATAAGCATTTCCTACAGAGGCTCTGTCCTCTGTACACTCTACTGTACAGCCTCGACAGAACCTGGAAACACACAGACACAGATACAGCTGCAGTACATACATGGATTCAGACAACTTGGAAACTTGGAACCCATAAATTATTAACATTCCTAGTTTAAAAAACAAAACATTACTCTACATCTAATTTTGGTCTTGGTTTGTTAATTTCCTTGGTTAGCTTACCTATCCTGTAAAATTCACCTAAATTCAACTAAAACACCTATCCAAGACACACCCAAAGTAAACTGAAAGCTGTTCATGTTCCATATTCAGTACGTGTGCATGCTTCAGTACACTGAATTTTTTCCCCCAACAGTCAGAATGACCATAGGTTTTTCTGAAATTAAGTTATTTAAGTTTAAAAAAAATTGAAAACAGATGCTGCAGATGACTAGAACCGGAAAAAACAATAGGACCATAGCATGAAGCCTCACATAGTGCAAATTCAAAGTAGATAACAAGATGTATGAGATATACACACATAGATGAGATATGTCTTACCTGTACCAGGGACACCAGGCACAGGAGTTGCCATCCTTTCCCACAACCCGTAAAGTAAAGGGGTACTGGTAGCCCATGCTGTCATCACTGCAGGTCAAAAGAAAAAGAAGAAGAAGAAGAAGAAGAAGAAAATAAAGCACATTATTTGTGTGGATATCATCATTTGAAACTGCTTGCTGCTATTCGGTTTTGACACTTGACAGTCAGCTTGCTCACAGCGCTGTGTTGTACAAAACACTTTTAATGTTTTATTCTTAGAGTGGGGCACTGTTGGCAGTTGGGTGAGCCTGGAGTAAATCATACTAAACAACAGATCAGAAATGGACCAAGCTTTATATAGTAGCTCATAGCTGATACTGATAAGCCTTGATCTTGATTGTGCAGATCTAGTCAGGCTATTCCTAATAATCTTCACTTTAAGAGATGGGCATCGTCAGGAGGTGGAGTGGGTCATCAACTAATGGGAAGATCTGTGATTTGATCCCTCCAGTCTGAATGTTGTTTCCTTGGGCAAGACACTGAACCCTAAATGTGTGAGTGCGTCTGGATTGAGTAGTATGTAGAACTTTGTCGCTGTGGCCACCAGCGTGTAAAAGATGCTATGCAAGTACAAGTCCATTCACATCTACAAAAAATTTATGTCAGTTTCCTCTCGGTGAGTTCTTTGTAAAGAAACTAGCATAGCATTGTGATGTGATTGTCTTAGCTTAGCACAAAGAGTGAAAGCAGGAGGAATAAGCTAATGGTCAAAAGCAAAAAAATTCACCAAAGTATGTTGAGTGAAAGGAGAAAACTGTCAGCGTACCAGTCCTGGGCATGGTTGCTGGCTTCCTGTGGGGGCAGTGGGCTGGCCAGTCTGGACACTTGGATCCAGACGGCATCATACAGATCCTTCTTACTGGTGTGGACAGTGCAGGGAACTATGAGTGGCATGCCGAACAGACTGGGTCGGTTCTTCTGAGATGACAGGAAGTACAGTTCTGTACGCATCTGAAGGGGTGACACAGATGTCTAAGTTAAACCAACAGCTGGATTACAGGCAAGACATGTATTTGGCACACATAGGTGAGCTCTGTGAACATCTCAGCATGAACTCTGAGTGTAGGTTCACACTTTAAATGACAGCCTGCATGCAGCTTTGTTAGAATGCAAAAAAAAAAAAAAATTCTGAATTATTTTTGGTCTGATGAATATGAGAGGTTGGATTGAGTAGTAAACTGTGAGCTAGTTTTATTTCTAAAGCTTGGAAAATTAGGCGAACTAGACTGAATAATACACACCACAAGTATGAAGACATACAGAGAATACTGTTCATGTTTTCCTATGATTTAAATATTTGGTCTCACACCCATGAAGGTAACATTTACATTGATAGTCTGTCCTGTAAGCCCGTTTGGACTGGGCACATATTGATGCAACATACTACATTGATATCAGAATACAGACCCCCTTTACGAGTAGATTTTTGTTGTTGGATATAATTTCATCCATATAAATGTCAGTATATTTTAGCACCATTTAGTTGCACATATTTTCCAGTATAATGTTATAATGGTTAATTTGAGAATTTATCAGCAGTAAAAGGTAAATTCATTCATTTATTCATTTTCCGTAGCCATTTATCCTGTTAGAGGTCGCAGGGGGGTGGAGCCTATCCTGGCTGTCATTGGACAAGAGGCGGATTACACCCTGGACAGGTCGCCAGATTATCACGGGGCTGACACTAAAGACAGACAACCATTTATGCTCACAGTCACACCTTCAGCCAATTTAGAGTCGCTGATTAACCTAACCACTGTGCCACCAGTATTTGAAAATCTTCAGATGGTGGACTAACTAGTGACCCTGTTGGTGACTTTTAGCTGAATTTGTCTGTTGTTGTTGTACTGGTGGCAGCTGTGGAAAACATTAACAGAATACTCAGCAGTCCTTGTGTTTGTCTCTTTGTTTAATTTTTTTTATCATAATGTCAAAACATATCTGATTCATCTTTGGAGACTTGTCAATCAAATGTGTCACACACTAACACTCAGTAGTGTTTTGAACCTTGCTTGTTGTGACAGAATATGTTGAAAACAGGAAGAGGGCAATGTGCTTTTCCTCTGAATGTCCATCTTGAATACATTTTCTAAATACATCTCAAGTGTGCCAAGGAAGCCTGGCCACAAAAATACCGAAAGTGTGTTATGCACGCTTGCAACACACTTGGCAGGGCGCACCTGACTGAAATCTGACCTTACTAATGGGTTAATGAGCCGGCGGTGTCCTCTTGTGCACACAGAGCAGCAACTTACCATTGACTGGTTTAGGTAAATAGATAAAAACACAAGTTCTGTACAGAGAAAGTACTGACAACTCAGACTGGGTGGATGGATATCTACAACATGATGCATCATTAATAACTTGCTGAATAAAACACCACAAAGTAAGTGTGGTAATCAGTTCATACTTGTTCTAAAACATTTATATGCATGTGCAGTTAGACCTAATTAACAGAAATTTGTTTTTATCTGTGTGAGAAAAAGGACGTGTGGTGTGCAACATGTGAAAAGTATCAATAACATGAGTCTCACAGTCAATGTGTGAGATGTGGCAGCCCTGCAGTTAAAAATGGAGACATTTCTGGGGACAGCTCCAGCTGGGGATAGAAAACAGGGACATCTGGTCACCCTACGTTGCGCCTCCAACCTAAGTGATCACAGTGCTTTTTCATCCTTGAATTAGTTCATGTTTGTTCACCTTTCACTGTTAGCTTTATACATATTGTTAATAGTATTGCCCGTTACATTTTGCATTAAGTGTTTCTGATTATTTTGATAATCAGTGTCTTTGATAACCATTAGGGATTTTAGCCAGTCACATTTTCTGAGCTTTTCTTCAGTTAGTAGTCAGCTAGGCTAGCTGACTGGCTAACCTCATGATAAAAATGATCAAGACACTGTACCTCAGTCACTTTAACTTTCTGCAGCTCTTCCAAGAAATGAGTGTAAAAAAAAAAGGGCCATAATGACATCACGTTAGCTAATGGGGATGCACGATATTGGATTTTTTGATATCCAATATACCGATATATAACAACTTATCTGGCCGATAACGAAAACCAATATCAATACATTCACTCCCCCCCCCCCCCAATGTAGTGTTATGTTACATAACACTACATTGTGCAAGTAGAGAACAGAGCAACTGCAACAAAGTAACCGTTTAAAGTTACATGATGTTTTAGCACATATTGTACTNCCCCCCCCCCCCCCCCCCTCTTATTATGATGGCCCACCAGCAGACGGAGACATGAAACAGAGTGCTTTTTAAAGTGTGTAATATTTATTGTGTAGAATAAGAAAAGCATGTTGGCTGATTCTAATCGTTCATTTTAAAGCCAATATCGGCTGATACCAATGGCGTACCAATATTATTGTGCATCCCTATTAGCTAAGCTGGCTGACGTTGGTGCTACACTGAGTGACTAGCTAACGTTGCTAATGGTTATCTAAGACATTGATTATCAAAATGATCAGAAACACTAAAGGAACTACTGTTAATATGTACAAAGCTAACTGTAAAAATGAAAAAGCACTGTCATCACTGGGGTTTGTGGCGAAGGCAGCAATACTGTAGAGTTAACAGAAAGTATACCGACATGCCGTTCATAAAATGGATATGTTACATAACACTACATTGTGCAAGTAGAGAACAGAGCAACTGCAACAAAGTAACCGTTTAAAGTTACATGATGTTTTAGCACATATTGTACTGTACAGTACAGCACACTTCTTTTGTATAGAGTTCTCACCATCTTTCTGTGCATGGCAATGATGTATCCAATGAAGGGGCTCTCCTGCACTGGTGTAATGTGTCCGTTGGCAACTCCATTGGCCAGGAGCATCTCTGGGTTACAGGGCACCATGGTGCTGGGCCCACCATTGGGGATGAGGATGGGCTTATTGCCCATGTTTCCATTGGAAGCCAAGTTGTTGGCTATTGGAGTGATGTCTGATAAAGTGGAAGAGCGAAGAGATGAGAAAATGGAGAACTGAGGATTCAGACAGATAAGAGTGCAAAGACAAAATGTGGGTGAACAGACTCACCTGTCAGTGTGGGTGAGCTCAGTGACATTGGTGAACCTGGCACTGGGATCTCAAATGCACACAGGAAGCCGTTAACAGACAGACGAACCTTCTGGTTGTCCTGAGGAAAGTTCTACAGACAAAGTGTTTCATAAGCTAGACTAACATTTGGTTTGGATCTGAGCTGTCAAAGTTACTGGATTGTGTCCAGTTCAACTCATCATCAGTGAAGCTCTTGTCAAAAGCAATACTTTAGTTTGTGTTGGTTTCTGAACAAAAAGGCAACACTTTTGTTTTTGCTCCCATTTTTCACAAGTATACATTAAAGATCTAACACTTTTTTATGCACCTTAGCACTTAATAGATATATTTCTCTCAAATTTTGGTCACAAATTTGTGAAACTCCATGTTAGTGACTTGTTGGTGAAGATTCTCAGTCATCCAGGTCATGGTAATCATAAGTGCTATATCATTGGCAACTGGACTTGCTTGCGTTTCTTGAAAACGTTTCACCTCTCATCCAAGGAGCTTCTTCAGTTCTAAACGACTGGTATGAAGTTGCAGGCTTTAAACTCTGTGTGGGTGGGGACCCTTGCAGAGTCGTAGGGGTCACATGTGAGCTCTTAGTTTCAGAGTCGTTACGGTCACAATGTGAGTCGTTGACTCACCTGGCCACCAAAGAAGCAGTTAAGACAGGGAGGAAATGTCTGCTACAAGACAGCTCCCTTCCAGACAGGACCAACTTCACCCCAGACCACATTTGTGACCTGCTGGATCTTTGTTTGGCCACCACCTATTTCAAGTACAGCGAGGGTTTCTACTGACAAAAGCACGGCCGTGCTATGGGCTCACCGGTGTCCCCTATAATGGCCAATCTTAGTTTAGTTTATTTAGTTTATCAAGGGACAGTGTGCAATAGCATTAAAATACTACAAATACTAACAATCTATGACGTGAATAAGTATCAAACAGGAATCTTGATGTATAAAGTCATATGTTTTCCGTTATCTTTACCCAAACATTTTCATAATTATTTTGAGTTTAATTCTGATTATCATTCATACTCCACGAGAAGGAGGAATGATTTGCATATCCCCTTCTGTAGAACCGCTGTTGCAAAATTTTCATTTATGTATCAAGGTGTTGTGCTGTGGAACAGGTTAAAACATCTAAGTGAAACATGCTCAAAATTATCTGCATTTAAAAGAAAGCTGAAACACATTTGTGTTTTTCTCTTTAGTTTTATTTCATTCAAATATATCTTTGGGCTATTTAAATGTATTCTGAAGTATCATTTATTCCGTTTGTGTGTGTGTTTATGTGTGTGTGTGTGTGTGTGTGTGCGTGTGCATGAGCCTGAGTGTGAGTGTGAGTGTGTGTGTGTGAGTATGTGAGTGTGTGCGTGTGTCTAAGCACAGACGTAAGCCTATGTACGAAGCTTATATAGTTTTGTAATTGTTGTTTTTTTTAGGAGGGGGGGCCGCTTGTAAGCCCACTCGGGTTTTTATGACCTCTCCTGCACATTTTGTCTTATATTTTCTTTTTTTCTGTGTAATGTTCCTTTTTTTTCTTATAAGTGCAAACAATAAACAAAAACAAAACAAACACTTCAGGGAAGTTCTTCAAACCTGTGGCTATCCCGACTGGGCCTTTGCAAAAACCTCAAAAAGACCCAGAGCAGACAGAGAGGAAGAGACACAAAAACATAACAACATTGTCATTCCTTATGTTGCAGGAGTGTCTGAGAAACTCAGGATTTTCAACAAACACCACATCCCTGTGCACTTTAAACCCAGTAACACACTGAGACAGAAACTTGGCCACCCCAAGGACAAAATACCCAGACATAAGCAGAGTAATATAATGTATGCAGTTCAGTGCAGCCAGGAATGCATAGATTTATACATTGGGGAGACAAAACAACCATTCTACAAGCGCATGGCACAGCACAGGAGAGCCAGCTCCTCAGGTCAAGACTCAGCTGTCCACTTAGATCTACAGGAAAAGGGACACTCCTTTGAGGACAGCAATGTGCACATCTTGGCCAGGGAGGAAAGATGGTTTGAAAGAGGAGTAAAAGAAGCCTACGTCAAGCTGGAATGACCATTGTTAAACAGAGGAGGTGGTTTACAACACCACTTATCACTCACCTACAGTGCAGTCTTGGGATCCCTCCCCAGACGACTTCACACCCATTCACCTCTGGTTCCACCTGACTCTAATGACTCTGATAGTGGCCAGGTGGGTCAACGACTCACATTGTGACCTTAACGACTCTGAAACTGAGAGCTCCCCTACGACTCTGCAAGGGTTCACACCCACACAGGGTTTAAAGCCTGCAACTTCTTACCAGTCATTTAGAACTGAAGAAGCTCCTTGGATGAGAGGTGAAACGTTTTCAAGAAACACAACAAGTCCTGTTGCCTATGATATAGCACTTATGATTGCCATGACCTGGATGACGATCCATGTTAGTGAGCACTTTAGGGCTGTAAAGTTCTAGTCGGTTGGTCAATTGCTTGATCATTATCCTCTTGTCTGACCAATTTCTCACAGGTTGGACATCACTTATTAAGGTTGTGTGTTCACCAAAGTGTTTATTTTCTCAGCTGAAAAACGACAGCTGTTGATATTAAGTGCTTGTATTTGTCCTCTGTGATGACTGGTCTATGCTGTATTTGTCCTGCCCTTCTCCACTGTGATTGGACGGCTGATGACAGTGACGACTGAGCATTTTACCCCATGTCAAACATTTTTCAACTCTCATTTGTAATCGGAAAACGGTTTAATAATAACAGAGGACATTGAGTATAGGATTTATCATTATGGATTAATTTTGCTAAGTTTCCAAAAAGACACTGCAGTTCAACGCTGGATTACAAAGCTTCTAAAAGGAATATGATCACACCTGAGCCCTTGCTGGAGCAGCATGATGGCTAATGTTAGCTTCTGTGGTAAAAAAGTTTCTCTCTTGCATGCAGTGTTACAGAGATATGTAATGTTAATAATAACATTATGTAATATATGACATCGTCCAGTCCATGTAGTGTCCAGTATGTCAGATTTTTCTAATCAGTTCTGTTCAACGCTTTCGTAGTGAGATGGACGCAGCTCACGTGGGAAGGTGTTAAATGTGTGCAGTTATTACATCGGAGATCACATTTATTTTTCACTCGAGGCATTCCACTTGCCTGAAGAGAGAGTTTACGTGACCTGGGCAAGTGTTAATGTTGAGCCCTGTGACAGGAAAAAAAAAGGCTTTGGTGGACACACAACGTTACCTGGTAGAGTACACTTATTGCACTGTGGCGATTTAGCTAATCTAGAGATGTCCATGCGCCCCATTGACCTTTCGTGTGGTCGAAGAGTAAGTAGAATTTCATTCCACCAAGACTTTCTTTGGTTGATTACAGCCCTATAGCACTTTTCCTTTTCCAAGATAATCCATCTACCTGACAGGCGTGGCATATAAAGATGCTGATTAAACAGTATAATTACTACACAGGTGTACCTTGGGATGGTCACAATACAAGGGCACTCTAAAATGTGCAGTTTGATCACATAACACAATGCCACAGATGTCACAAGGCTCTGGAACGACCTGCCTGAGGATGTAAGGCTCTCTGAGTCACTGGCTTCATTTAAATCTCTCCTAAAAACATATTTCTATTGTAAAACATATCCTGACTTTATCTGAGCTTTTTAAAACTCGTCTTAAAACCCATTTTTATTCCTTGGCTTTCAACTCAGCATGAGACTCTGCTCTTGTTTTAGTGTTTTTATTGTTTTGCTTTATTTTACTTTATTGTTTTAGTGTTTTTATTGTTTTTATTGTTTTGGGTTCAGGCTGCAATACTCAGCTAATAAAATGTTGCATTACTCGGCAGTCTAACTCACTTTATTCTTCAACTATGTTTTTCCTGCGAACCACCTGCTTATCATGGACACGGGTTGCTATACAGTGGCAAGAAAAAGTATGTGAACCTTTTGGAATGTCATGGTTTTCTGAATAAATTTGTCATAAAATGTGATCTGATCTTCATCTAAGTCAAGGGTATTGACAAATATAATGTGTCTAAAATAATAACACACAAAAAAACCTGATCTTTCATGTCTTTATTGAACACACTCATTCAACATTCAAAATGGCAGTGGAAAAAGTAAGTGAACCCTTAGAATTAATAACTGGTTGACCCCCCCCCCGGCAGCAATAACTTCAACTGGGCGCTTCCAGTAGCAGAGGATCAGACCTGCACATCGTTGAGGAGGAATTTTAGCCCATTCTTCCTGGCAGAACTGCTTTAGCTCTGTCAAATTCTTTGGACGTCTCATGTGTATGGCTCTCTTCAAGTCATTCCATAGCATCTCTATTGGGTTGAGGTCTGGGCTCTGACTTGGCCACTCCAAAAGGCGGATTTTTTTTTTCTGAAGCCATTCTGTTGTGGACTTGCTCCGGTGTTTTGGGTCGTTGTCCTGTTGCATCACCCACCTTCTACACAGTTTCAGCTGACGTACAGACATTCTCAGATTATACTGAAGAACTGTCTGGTAAACTTGGGAATTCATCTTCCCCTCAATGATTGCAAGCTGGCCAGGCCCTGATGCAGCAAAGCAGGCCCAAATCATGATGTTTCCTCCACCATACTTTACGGTTGGAATGATGTTTTCATGATGATATGCTGTGCCCTTTCTATGCCAGATGTAGTGCTGTGTGTTTTTTCCAAATAGTACAATCTTAGTTTCATCACTCCACAAAACATTTTGGCAATACCGCTGTGGAGTGTCAATGTGCTCTTTTGCAAACTTCAGGCATGCAGCAATGTTCTTTTTAGTAAGCAGTGGTTTCCTTCGTGGTGTCCTGCCGTAGATACCCTGCTTGTTCAATGTTTTACGTATTGTAGACTCGTGAACAGAGATGTTAGCCAGTTCCGATGATGCCTTCAAATCTTTGGCTGTCATTCGGGGTTGTTTCTTTACCTCACTGATGAGTCTTCGTTGTGCTCTCTGTGTCATTTTGACTGGGCGTCCACTTCTTGGTAGAGTAGCAACAGTCCCAAAGTGTCTCCATTTGTAGATTGTTTGCCTAACTGTAGACTGGTGAATTTCTAAAGTCTTTGAAATCACTTTGTAACCCTTGCCAGCTTTATGTAATTCAACAATTCTTGATCGTAGATCCTCTGAAAGCTCTTTTTGGCGAGGCATGGCTCACATAAGCGTGTTCTTCTTGCGCAGAACAAACTCCAAAAGTTTGAGGGTTTTTTTAAGTCAAAGTAGCTGTAGTCCACACCTCCAAACTCATTGTCTTAACGAGACTCCAGGTGTGCTATAACCTGACTCCAATTAGCTTTGTTAAGGTCATTAACTCAAGGGTTCACATACTTTTTCCACAAGCACTCTGAGTTTTTTTTTGTTATTCTCAATGAAGGCATGAAAGATCAATTTTTTTGTGGTATTATTTTAGACACATTATATTTGTCAATACCCTTGACTTGGATGAATATCAGATCACACTTTATGACAAATTTATTCAGAAAACCATGAAATTCCGAAAGGTTCACATACTTTTTCTTGCCACTGTATAACCCATAACATTATGTTATTTGTTACTTGCTGTCTCTGGAATTCCTTAAGCCGTTCCCGGACACGTCCAGTCAGGTCTCGATCAGTCTTTTTCCAGTGCGGCGCTCGGTCGAGTCTGCACTGCACTGCGGCACACCTCCACCTCGTTGCCCCATTTCCTCATGTCCTCTGCAGCCTCAGATGCGCTGTTGTACAGGCGGCTCTCAGATTCCCAATGGATCCTCATCTTGGCTCGATAGGGTGTTTGGAAGCGTACCTTCTGCTCCTTGAGGATTCTTTTATTGTCTTTGTAATCTTTGAGCTTCAAATTTACTTCAGTTGGAAAGTCATGAGAAAAGTTGACGACTCGGTCCCCGAGCATGATTTTCTTCGACCAGGCTGCTTTTAAGACCCGGTTCTTTGTGGCGTAGTGTTAGAAATGAACCCACGATGGAGCGGGGCAGCTCATTGCTCTTAGGTTTCGGCACAGTGAACCTGCATGCTCTCTGTATTTCCAAATCCCCCGAGTTGAGTTCTGTGTTTTCGTCGTCTTCTTGGTTTTTTTGTTGTCTCAGGCTTTTCCTAGTTTTTCCCCAACCCATTTTCGTGTCATTGAAATGTTATTTTTTTGGAAATTATATGGATTTTGTGGGGTTTAACTCTGATATGACCAAGAGCGAAACCTCTATGCCGCCATACTCATTGCGCCCGCCCCGGAAGTCGTTCCTACATTATCTTGATTTCAACTTTAGCCTTATTTTATCTTTAACGAGATGACACTTTATAGTGCTGCACGATTAATCTAATCGCAATCGCGATGTCAGGCTGTGCGATTACATAACCGCATAAAAGGCTGCGATTTGCGATTTAATGTAAATAAATGTTAACGTGTGCCTGTGAACGTGACTGCCTCTCCTGTAGTGTGTGGAGTTTGTTGACATTATGCCCACAAGCTATCCTGGTGTGTGCAGCATGTATGGTCAGGTGACCACTCAGCGTGCAGCAGTGACCAACACAGACACTGAAGAAGAGCATGACCACGACCAAAAACAGGCTGGGTTGGTGGCGAAAAATAACCCAACGCCTATTATATGGTAATGCTTTGGATTCAGATATGCGATGTTGACCAGAAAGACGTGCTGTGTAAAACTTTAAAAGTTAAAGTCGCCACGTCCCACGGCAACATGACCAATCTGTATCAGCACTTGAGACAGCACAGAGAAAAGTATGTAGAATGCATGCGAGAGAAAGCCGAGCCGAGTAACATTAAAGACAATGAGACAACTGAAAGACACCAGAGCCTCATAAAACAACATCTAAGCACAGTTACGCAAACATTTGTAAGTGTCACAGGGAAATCATGGACTCCGTAACAAACTATATAATAACAAATGAAAAACTAAGCAATTTTGCTCTGTTTCGGCCCACTTGATATGCTGCTGTGTTGTGCTATGGCGTGGTGGAATTTGTCATTTACGTGACAATGCCTGAATGCAACACAGGCTCGCTCCGCTGTAGCTTTTATACAGTCTATGCGCTGTAGGTACAGTGCCGGGCTGCGCTGCTGTGTGAGCAGCTTGTTTGACTGTGCTCAGTCTGTTGATGGTAATTAACACACTGTCCATAACAACAACTATGTCAGGTCAGGGCCCCCCTAATATGATGTAGTGGAAACACTGAATCAAGCAGATCAAGCAATGATACCATTTTTTTTAAATTATATTGTAATCGCAATCGCAAATCGCGATATTGTCCACTCAAATCGCAAATGCACATTTTTATCAAATCATGCAGCACTAACACTTTATGACATGTTATGTGTTTTATTCTTCTTGTTTTAATTGTGTTTAGTTTTATTTTACAGCACTTTGTAACTGTGTTTTGAAAGGTGCTATATAAATAAAGTTTATTATTATTAATATCATTATTATTATTATCATTAATATTATCATTAATATTATTATTTCACTACCATAAGATGTCTCCAATGTTGTTTCCCTGAATTTGGCAGCACATCCAACTGACCTACAATGTTGAATCGCCATATCTCTACAGCAGCCTTTCACCTTTTTATGTAACCTGAAGGCTACTGATATATTGATTTGCTCAGTGGATTTTGATCTTATTTGCAAGTGTTTACAGCAGTTAGTTATTTCCAGTGTCCTATTCATATGGTGCAATGAACAGCTAATGTGAAAGCTAGTTCAAGGTGAGAAAACTCAGCCTTTAATCTGATATCTAACTGTTTTGTATGACACTAAGAATGATGTAACCCCTTGCCCTCTGTGTTACAGGCTACACTGATCAGCGATCAGTGGAATAGTCTCAGTACCTTGATGTTGGAGGTGTGGACCTCAGCCAGCAGGATCTGCTCAGGCCTCAGACTGCACAGTTCACTCAGCTGTTTCTTGAGCCCTGTGTACTTTTCATCCATATTTAACCGCAGGCCATAACGCACAGGTGTAGAGCCATCCAGTTTAATGACTACAAACACACCAAAGCGTAATATGTGATTGGGTTTTGTTGTTAAAAAAGAACACATTTTCAGAATCTTTCCTCTAGCTTTCTCACCAGTGATCTCCAGATGCATGGAGCTGTCCATGGGCAGGGGCAGAGACAGGAAGTTAAAGGGGTCGAAGCGAGCGCTGATGTGTCCACAGGTCTTACACTTCACCTGGGATTTGAGCTGACCGTGGAATAGATCCACCACAATGGAGCGGTTCCTGCGCAGGTGGTTCTCCCATGCCTTTAGGGTGGAGGAGCATTCACACACACACACACACACACACACACACACACACACACACACAATGGCGAGATCACACACCACTAATCCTGCAAACCCATCCCTTGGGATATATAGAAAACAACAAAACATCAATACAGCAATATTAGAAATTTAAAGGAGAGCTTAGCTAATAGTACTGACTGCTAGTCTTGCACGGCATACTGTTATCAACGGCAGACAGCGGTACTTAACACCACGGTACATATGATACCATAATGTTGGAATACCGTAGTACTACAGTACCTCACGCACCACTACTGTGGGATAAGTTCAAAGTCCACTTGCAAGAGGGTGAGTGTCCATGCGCCATCCAATAACGGCGTGTGCTGGCCACCTGGCACTCAATATGCCGCTGCAGTGGTTTGTTTTCCAGTGACATTTCAGGTATTAGCTGAGCTATTGAGTGTCTTTAAGCAGTGAAAGTTATTATTTATTTCTTTTTACTTGTAGGCTAGATTTGTTTATATATGCTACAGTGATTTGTTTTCCACCACAGAGCTCTACGGTGCGACCATTTTACTCGCATTTGCGACTAAAAATAGTTTTGTGCGAGCAAAAGAAATCATTCAGGAGCACGCTGTGCGAGTACAGATTTCAACCAGCCGCAGAAACGAAAGGCCAATCCTGCCGGTTGTGGGTTTAACGGGGGTCACAGACAGGAATACGACGTAGCACTATGGCCAATGCAAGATAACTCGGTTTACTGGCGACCGAGAAGCCCGGCTCAAGGTGAATAAGTTGGTGTCATGACTGCCCAGTAGTACCTGAACAGCCGAACCGTGGCGGCACACAGGTATGTGACACGTCAGAGGAGAAACGAGCCATTCACATTTCCACAAACCTCACCGCACTTAAGGGACTGTTCTTAACTTGTCAGGGGAGGAGGGTGGCAGGTTGATTTTTATTTTATTTATTTATTTTATTTTGATCCCCCCTATGTTAATCACTTATTGATGATGTTTTTGAAGTATGAATAAGTCAATAAGTAATTTATTCCATTGAAATATCATTGATGTATTATAGAAAAGTGATTTATCTTTTTTTAAATGATAAAAGGCACATTTGCTTTATTTTTTTTGTGGTTTCGTGATACTATTCAGAACCTTGATACTTTCACTGGTATCGTACCGTGGGTCCCAATTTTGGTACCGTGACAACACTACTGACTGCTCTATTCTCCTCATTCTTTGACTCATGAGGACTGTAATTAGTCGCAGTTCCGCATATGTTTTATGTCCATTACAATTCACCTTCCAATTGGTTCAGTCAGGAATGTACACCCCAATCTTATAAAATTGTTACAGGCGATCACAAGGTCCAGAATTGGGTTTTACATTTCTTATTGACTATTCTGCAACGAGACATATTTGAAGAGAGAATTGCAATGCATTTCTGACCTCAGAGGCTACCTCCCAGTCAGGCCGGCCATCGCTGTCCTTTAGCTCCACGTAGGGTTTCTCATGGACTCTGTTGAGATCTTCATGGAGACCATCCAGCAGGAAGGCAAGCAGCTCCTGGGAGTCCTGCTGCTGGAAGCCATTAAAGCGTGGGGCATATTTTGCTATTGTCCACTGCAGAGGAAGCAATGAATTCATAAACTTTACTATGACTTTAAAAGCATTTTTAAAGGCACACTGTAAAACTGCTTCTGTAGCACTTAAACAAGTTTATACACAGCATTTAAACACTTCAAGTCCAATTCAGCCTGCAGCCAGGTAAAGAGAAATGGATCAAAAATTACAATACCTGACCAGACCCATAAACCAGGTAAGAAACCAAGACCCATAACAAGTAAGCAGAGCTACTGCACGTTGACAGCTTAAAAAAAATGCTACACTAAAACATACCAACTTCTCAGTTTGCAAGGCACACCATTATAAAAGGTACCAACGGGGTAATGTCTTTAAAATTTCATGTCTAAGACGTTGATGAAACTGCTTACCCTGAGTTTGAGTGGAGCTACATTCTTCTGCGTTCCACTCCATAGCTCCATCACCAGGTCACCGTAACACTTGGCCATGTGACCTCGCATCCCGATGGGGTTGGTTCTTAAATGCACCAACGCAAGCCAGTTAAAATTATAAATTCATAATACTGATGGCAAGATTTATACCAGACTTAAGTTTCACCTGTTGAGCTCATAGAGGTGTCTCCCTGAAATGAAGTAGTCTGTGAGAGGCTTGGTGTTGCTCACACACTGGATACTGGAGTTCATGAAGCAGGTGTTGCCAAGGTTACTGAGGCCAGTAGCTCCTTTCTCTGTGGGAACTGGGATGAAAAAAACAAGGGCATACTGGTCAGATTTAAAGCTAAGCGTAACTGCAGGAAAAACAGTAAAGGAGCTAACAAGCTTTCTTTACTGACCAGCACCAATAAATAACTGCATAATTGAGAAACTGTTAAAATTACTGCTACAATGTAGAGTTTATACCAGCCACTCTCAACATTTTTGTAGTGAACTAGTGGTGGGGGAAAAACGATACAACAAAGTATCGCTATATTTTGTGTGGCAATATTGTATCGATACACAGACGCCATGTATCGACTCTTTTATTATACACATTCTTGATTATTGCAAATACACAATTTAATACAACTTTTGGTTCTAGAATAATAAAATCAATTGCTTTTTCGGTCCACTAGATGGTGCTGATGTTTGTTTTCCTGGTGAGGTCAGCAAAGGTCTCAGTCAGTAGTATTTGGCAGAAAGTTCATCAAAACAAAGATCAAGGCACTGGAGAAAGAAATCAGAAATGTGCCATTGGTGTTCACATTAAACGCCTGGACCTATTTTTGGCAGAAAGTTCATCAAAACAAAGATCGAGGCACCGGAGAAAGAAATCAGAAATGTGCCATTGGTGTTCACATTAAACGCCTGGACCTATTTTGGATTTTTTTAAATACTCTGGGAATACAACGAACATGAGGGTTCACCTCATACGCCACCTTCCAGAGACAGCGTTAGCCACTGACGGCCAAGCTAACTCTAATCCCGCGCCGCCGAAAAATCAATTAACACTGCACACACTTAGTTTGACAAAACTACTATCCTGCTCCGAAAGAGCGTTCATACAGCTTTGCTGAAAGAAAAGGTTTTTGTTACATTCTAAAAACACTAGAACCAAGGTACGTGACTCCGTCCCAACATTTTCATCGAGACAGCTGTGCCCAAGCTCTACAGAGAAGCGACGCAAAAAGTTGAGGGATCTTTGAGTACAGCAGGAAGGGTGGTATTAACTTGTGACACGTGGACTTCAATGTCAGTGGATTCATATGTGACTATAATGGCACATTTAATCACAGAGAAGTAAAGACTACTGTCTCATGTTCTCCAAAATAGAGCAGGGCACGAAAGTCACAACGGGGCAAACATTGCAGATTTCCTGCAAACTGCACCACAAGAATGGGGGATTGCTGACAAAAACCTTGTTGTTTTAACAGACAACGCTTCTAACATGGGTGTTGCCATTCTATTATTTCCAGTTCCATTCCAGTTTTATCCCAGTTTTCTCTGAACTGGGGTAACAGTGACTTCACACCTGGTAAGAGTGATATGGACTTCATAATCTGGGCTGATAAAGGCCTAGGTAAAATTGCTGATTTTATTCGACAATGGCACTCTCATGTCATTTTAAGATTTGAAACAGATGTTTGACATCAAACAAAAACATTTCTTAAAATATCTGCAGATTAGGAGCGACATATCTAAAAATCCTTATCCTTACCTACTCTCATCTCTGTGGAAGAAATAGCTGTAAAACTCCACTCAAAGAGGGGCCTGATTTCACACTTCTATAAAACAATCATGGACATGGACACCTTTCTCTCTCCCTCCTTCACACTGTGTCCAAGGCAAGAAAAGCCCCCCCAAAAATAATAAAAAATTTAAAAAAAAAAACACAGTTAACTAACACCCATTTTAAATTACTCTAATATATATATATATATATATATATATATATCTAAAGTGAATATTGAGAATATATGTAACTCCAATCATGTTAAATAAATTCAATCCCAATACCCTTGAAATATGTAATAGATGTGAAATAAAGATCATGCTATTTCATTGCTTATGAGACTGCCCAAATATCCAGGTTTTCTGGATAGAGGTTTTGGATATCCATTCACATGTCATATGTGTTAAGTTGTCTGTGTGCCTCAAACTGTGTATCCTTGGTATCCCGTAAATTGTAAACTAAGCAAGGCAGATAAGAAAATAACACTCTACTGCTTATTACAAGCAAAACACACCATTGCCAGATTCTAGAAAATCCACTATCAGACCAAGTTTACAAGCCTGGCTTACTGGACTGTCACACTCTGTTGCCCTGGAAAAACTTACTTTTATTATTAAGGGTAAATATTCTACTTTTGGTAAGATATGGGGATGTTTTATGACATTTCTAGGGAGGGAAAGGGCTACAAAAGTCTACTTGTTTTAATCTCCTGAATGCAACATAATTATGTGCATATTTTTTCCTTTTTCTTTCCTTTTAATACTTGTATAGGTAGCATTTCTGATTATTTATTTTGAAACTTGGAAAAGTACTCATTGTGTTGCCCTGTCATAGCAGTTGTTACTAAGACAATGCCTTACTGTGAATGTTGTTTTTGATGTAATATCTAAAGTATATTAAAAATCCAATAAACGCACTTATTTAAAAAAAAAAAGAAAAAGAAAAAGAAAAAAGAAATCGCAATATATTTCTCTGCAATACTGCATATCACAATATCGCAATATTGTATCGTGACTTAAGTATCGTGATAATATCGTATCTTATGTCCTCTGGTGATTCCCACCCCTAGTGTGAACACTACCTAACAATAACATTAAAACATTACATAAATCGACATGGCAACATTTTTTTAATCTACCAGTCTGCAAAAGATTTTGTTTTACCAAAGGGTATTAGGTATTACTATTATTAGGTATATGTATTTTTTCCTCAGTCGATCATTTATATATGATCACTCCCTGCATCTGCTTTGAAAATGGACATCTAGCATTTTGTGGCCAACACAAGAGCTATTATAAAATATTAAAGAATAATGTTGCAGATGAGGTGGTGATTACAACTCTAATTCCCAGAGAATTTTGATCTTAAAATTATGTCTGCACACACACATTAACACACACACTCAAGGTTTAAAGTGGGACTTGGAGTTGGGGGAGCCCTAAGATTCGGTTTAATGGTGCAGGGGGGGAAATTACTGACCTCTAAATAACTAATAATACTAAATAATATTGATTTGTACTGTGAGCTCCGATGGACTTGTTTTCTTTGTGGACATGCTATGTGATCAGCTGAGCTTCTTTTAAGGATGCTGTGGCTCTGGGTTGCATTCTTCAATTTATAATGTTAGTGTGTTCCAGCTTACCTTTGTGCCTGTCCATCTTACTACTGTTGGCAATGAAAGACATTTCCTCTGGCCAGCTCATGTCTTTGTTCCTGACTGTGGAGGAAGAGAAAGAGATTTTTTAAGATTAAACCATCTCACTTCCACTTTCATGTGGCATTACTCAGAATTATCAATGAAATTATCTGTTGATATAACACCACTATGCGTGTGAACAGAAATTTGTTAATTCTGGAGAGAAATGTAATTAAAAAAGGGAGGTGTGTCAGACCTTCAATAACTAGCTGCTGCTCATCATGGATCTTTAGACTTTCCAGTGTGTGATCTTCGTCATCCAGGAGGGTTAGGTAGTTCTACAGGACAAAGAGAAGAGATTTAAAGAATTATTACTCTGTTATTCTTTCTGTAAGTTCATTTTAGAAGTACCATTAGACATGCTTGTATTCAACTGTTAGAGGGCCCTCAGGCAAAAATAAGCTGCTGGGGCCCCTATTAACCCCCCATTTCTTTCACACTTTGTGTGAGATGTGTGTCCACCTTATTCCTAACCCCCATGACACCTTGCGTGAATTATGGGTGCAACTTCCGGCGCTATTTGTAAAATATGTTCTGCTATAATATAGTGGTGTTTGAGGATGCTGTGAATAGTGTAGAATTGGTATGACAGGTCATTGTGACTTGATAGTCAGGCTTCTGCTCCTTAGAGTTGATCTCATCTAGTTAGTGGCACCAGCTGATTGATTTATCACACCTTATCACACAATCTGTCTGTGTGTATATCTGTCTGTGTCTCGGATCAACTCGCCAATCTGGCTCTGTGTGTCTAAATGCTCGCAGCTTGCCTGCAAAATGGCCCAACATTCGCCGAAAATCTGCCAGTGTAAAAGGGGCACGTGTTCTGTGAAGCACTCGTCAGTAGTACTGATGATAGTCAAGGACTGAAACATTTGCTGCTGTTTTTACTTACTCTATCATTTTTTTTTGTGCTTGAGCACCTTTTATTGTGCACAGATGTCTTTTTAATAAATAGACTATTAAGCATTGATCTCAGCCTATGGACCTTTTTGTGACTTTCTAGCCCAGTTACATTGGTGTGCAGGTGTCTCCTCTGATGTCCTACTCAATGCAAGAGCCTTTACTGCTGTGTGCTTCACCAATGCAGAGGAAGGAGAGAGAAATGCCACCAACACAGTTGACGTTACTAGAGTTAACAACCTTGCATTATGTTACTTTAAATGCAATAAAATCATAATTTATTATTGTAATCCACCTAAAACCAAAGATAGACACACGTCAACCCCAAACAAGTCAAGCTGAAGCTGACAAGCTATCTTTACAGCTGCTTAACTTAAGACCAGTGTAACATCTAATGGTCAATGTGTGTGTGTGTGTTATTTATTCTGAAGCTGCTACTTTACATTCTATTTTTTATATTTAGCAGCATTTAAGTTCATCACTTTGATGTTCCCAAGAGACCACAAGAGACTTGAGTTTTTTTTTGTTACAGGAGACTTTTAAGTTGAAGTTCAGCACTTTGATATGTCTTGTTTTAAAGCCCTGTCTAGACAGCAAACATCTCAGACGTGTTCTTTGACTTGAGCATCTATGAGTGCAATAAATGTTTTTGTTGGGGGGAAAAAAAGAATCGTGTGAGAGAATCAAGATCTCAATTCTTAGAGAGAAAAATTGTGATTCACATTTTAGCAAGAATCATGCAGCCCTAGTTTCATACAGCTGTACTGGCTGACCAATAATATTTCATACAAGCCAAATGTATAAAAGAAATGGCAGCTCTTGTGACAGCCTTGTGGCCCACCTCACTGTTGTAGAGCCAGAGTCTCATGTCCTCCCCTTTGATGCGGAGTCTCTGGGACAGGTAGAGGTGGATGTCCTTGATGGTGGCCATGCGGCTGAAGCAGCCGGTGTAGGCCAACACTCTCTTAAGAGGAGCATTGGGGGATGGCACATTACCTGCTAAGTTGCACAAATAGGACAGGAACATTCACAAACCGACCCAAACACACAATTGGTGCACATATTTGGTGTGTGTTCATTTTACTTTTTCTTAACTGAAAGGACTACAACTGTGATTTAAAAGTCCTTGTGTGTTACTGGCTATGCACAAGCTCACAGATGCAAACAACTGATCAACTACAACAACAGCATTCTGGTGACTGAGGATTAGTTGTAAGGAAGCAGCAAGAAAGGGCTTTCTTGTCAATCAGCGCAGACTTGATTGGTCAATCAACTTAGTGGATTTAGTAGAATCAGATTGGATTAAATCAAACACAAACCCATTAATATTAGTGCTGTCTATTCAAGTATAAGTATACACATTTAAAAGTTTTATAAACTGATCACGGCTTCAAAATAGTTATTAAAACTGGTGATTTTAATATCTGATTTCATTTTGTTCTATCGACACAGCTTTGCTATTTAATTCTACCACTAAATGAACCATCCTCTACACTTGTTTGAGTGCTCTACTACTGCCTCAGGCTGTCAGGGAGACATTATGCAGAATACAACGCATTACTAGATCAATTTTAGATATTTAGCAACATGCCTGATAGAGGGTCTTAATGTCCAGCAATGACAAGCTGCTTAGACATATTATGAGTCATGACTGTAGCCAAAGTGCCACTTGGGTCTTGGGTCTCGTTTTGGCTTGAAATCTGATATGTTAACTTGATTTGCACCAGCGCTCTCATGCTGAGTGCTGATGCCATCCCAAGCCTGATTAACCAAGAGCAACTGTGTAAATGTCTATTTTATGCTTTGTCATTTGCTTTCTTTCTGCAGACAGGCACTATATACAAATAGATTTAGACATCATGCAAAGGGGTAAACACTGGAGTGAAATCCAGCTTCTATTATTGTGTGAGTGATTTGGTCTCTATATATGCTTTCCACTGTGAGTACACTGGACCTGAATGAACTGAAGTTTAAGTGACTGACATGGTGCAGCTTACAATCATCAACCTTTCCAGCCTTCCAAAGAAGTAGGGACGGGGCAGCAGAAGACTGGGAAAGCTGTAGAATGCTCAAAAAACACTAGTTTGTAACATGACCATGGGAAAACAGGTGAACTGGTAACAGATTAAAGTATCATAATTAGGTAAGAAAAGGGCATCCTCTAAAGGCTCAGTTGTCCACAAGTTAGGAAAAAAATAAATTTTCAAGTTGTGAAAAGGGATTTCACCATCTACAATCCATAATTTCATCAAAAGATTAAGAAATCCAGAGAAATCTTTGCACGAAGGGGCAAAGCTGAAAACCAACCCCGAATACCTGTGACCTTTTGACTTCTCATGCATCACTGCATCAAAATCCAACAACTTTGTATAAAGGATATCACTACTTGGGCTCAGGAACACTTTGGAAAATGACTGTCAGTAAACACAGTTCATCACTGCAGCTACAAATGCAAGTTAAAGGGATAGTTCAACATTTTGGCAAATTCACCTATTGCCATAATCCCTATAGTCATATGAGTAGGTACATTACCTTTAATTGTCAGTTCCTGCTGTTCTGAGATCAGTGGGACAGAGCTGCCCGCTGCTCAGCGCACAAAATGGAGGTGAACGGTACAGCGCCCTCTCTCCCTCAAAACTAATCAAATACACCATCAAATGACTCCAAAACGCTCTAGTGGAAAACCCATGGCTTGCGCATTCCCCACGCTATGAAATAACAATGTATAATTAAGTAACATTACAACACATGAAGCAAATACTCAGAACTACTTTCTTTAGTAAACCACTGGGCGGAGTGACACAGTGCACACCTGAGACAGTGCCGTAGTTATTGCTTGCAGCCTTGCATTTGTGGTATCGTCAGCTGGACGCACCAGAAAGTTTGAGAAAAGTTTACAGAGTGTTGTTGTAAATTATGGTTTACACATGTATTGTAAAAGGTTGCGGTAACAAGCCGAAGACACGGAGCAGAGTGAAGTTTCACGTAGTACATACCAAAAATATAGACAGGATGAAACAATGGCTATTTGTGCTGGACAACATGCCTGTGGAAATGGTCTGGAAAATGTTTGTTTGTTCCAACCATTTTTTACCAGAGGACTACAGTGAAAGGATTGAGTGCAGAAGCTCAGGAATGGTTCAAACACTTTTCTTGAAAGATACTATCATACCATCTGTCAGCATCACAAAACGAGCAGACGTGGTAAGTGATCGTTGTGTATTTTGCTCAGCAATCTCTCTGCTGTAACGTTACCTCCATGTTGAGTAACATTAGCTTACAACTGAAGCATGGTAAATAAGGCTAAAATGCAAATGTTGTTGTGGTTATGTTATGGATAAGCGCTTGCCCAGAGCATATAATGAAGTGACTGGCATTACTTCTCATTGTTGGGAATAAACAGACTGCTAGGGAACATTTTATGTTGTTGTTCCCTCAGGAGTTGTGGTGATTTATGAGTGTGGAGTTAGTATGTTCTCCCCGTGTTCCGGTGATTATTTTGAGGCGTACTCTCGTCCCATCCCACCATCAACATATATATGTAACATACAGTCACTGGCCACTTTGTTAGGTACACCTGTGTAATCTAATGCAATCCAGTAGAATGGCTATACCATGAGATTTGTGATGATTCTACTTTGTTTATTATTGAGGTCATAGTGAATGGTGATGGTGTACTGGGGCGGCCTCCTAATTTTGTCTAATTGAGGGGGACAATATATTAGGAACACTTTTCAATATATTGCACTCCAGCACACCAGCAACACCCACTACAACCTCAATAATAAAGTAAAATAATCACCTTTCTGACAATGTCAACAAAAACTGAAAATGTAAAAGCTTTGTAAATGTAGAATATGTGGCAGAGCTGTTGTTTCAGATTGTATTAGATTGCACAGGTGTACCTAATAAAGTGGCCAATAAGCCCCACATTTACACCACCAATCCATGCCGGCTCTGGGTCTCCCCTCAGCCCCTGGTTGCTCGGCAGCCTCAGCCTCTCTTCTTGCTTTCTCTTCTTCCAAAACCTGTAACTCTTCATCTGTATATTCTGGCTTCTTCTCAACAAACTTGTTGTTTTGATGACGGGAGTAACTGAACTAAACATACGCTGTTTAAAATCATTCCGCCCAGCAAGCACTGTATGTCTGGAATGTAGTTCCGGCTGTGCATTTGGCTTCAAAACAACGCTGTCTCGTAATATTACATAATTATTTCATAGTGTGGTGAATGTGTAAGCTACAAGTTGTCCACAAGAGCGTTTTGGAGTCATTTGATGGTGTATTTGATTAGTTTTGAGGGAGAGAGGGACCTGTACCGTTCACCTCCATTTTGTGCACCGAGCAGCAGGCAGCTCTGTCCCACCAATCTCAGAACAACAGGCACTGATAATTAGAGGTAATGTACCTACTCATATGACTATAGGGATTACGGCAATAGGCAAATTTGCCAAAATGTCGAACTATCCCTTTAAGACTCCTTTTTGAATTTATTTATTTTTTTCCCTCCCTTCCCCGCTCCCACACCCCTCTTTGGCGGAGGGGATTTTCCATTGGCGGAGGGCTAAAACGGCTTTGGCGGCCACCAAAAATATTTTCTATGCAGGGAAAACCCTGCCATGCAAAGTCAAAGCCATATATCAACAACATGGGAGTGGAAATATATATACATATATATATCTTGTTGTATATATATAATACCATTATTATGGCTATATAAATGTAATTTATGGTGCTGTTAGATTGCTGTTACACACCCCACTCTGTTTACAGTATGTGCGAAAGACAAGAGGATTTTTTCTAACCTCAGCAAAAATGTTGTTTTTCAAAGACTACACGCCAACAAATATGGACTGAAGCAGAATCTTTCGTTAGATAAAAACAGCTTGTGAATATTAGAAATGGTTACATAGATCTGTTCTTTTTTTATTATTATTTTGACGCTGGGACTGTACAACGCACTGCCTGCCGCACGCAGCACAGCTTCACCTCATTGATCTGTCGCTGTCTGTCTAAACAGATTCATGGGAGCGATTTTCACAAGATCTGATGCAAGAGGAATTTGTGATAAAATGTCTATTACTATTTATTAACACTAGAACCGCCAAGAGGTCATTTTCACCCTCCTGCCATTTTCAAATGCTTGTAACTTTGTCACAATAAAACTCTAACATCTCTCTGAGAGCGCAGTCACAGTACATCTTGACTGAAGTAGCTGGCCCAAAAGCACATGCACGGCATAATATCGATGACCATTTGAGCGCGTTCAAGTGTCTGATGGATCGTGTCATGCTGCAACACATCTGCGACTGTACAGTAGCAGAGGCGCGTCAGTGTGGAGCAGCGCATGGTTGCCAACACGACTCTGCCGTGCGCGATACAGAGAGCAGAGGAGAATTGTAAACACGCAAACATGTACAGAAATGACATGCCATGGTGTAAATCATATAAATAACATAAGGCTACAGCTTCACCTCATTGATCTGTTGCTGTCTGTTTAAACAGATTCATGGAAGCCATACTTCACAAAGCCCCGCTCATTCAGCTGTTTCACATAGTCTGAAAATGACTCCTCGGCTCCTCTGTTTATCACATGCTTATAGCATTATATTGTATCCTTTTACTGCCTTACCGCTGAGGTCTGAGCAGCTTCATGGAAGTGACATTTTACAATTCTTCGTATTTTAAACTAACAAATTTCATTACTTTTTCATTCCCTCTGAATGGGTGAGTGTTTCCATCTGAATAAGTTTCTCAGTCACTCACATCATCACACTAAGTGGGCTATACAAACTTTCGATGCAAACATTCAACAACACGTTGTCACCGTCAATGTCTTTTATAATTCTTCACATTATAAACCAAGAAAAGGATTTTGTCTCTTAATGAATGTTAATGTAATTTTAAAATTTAAGTCTCTTAATGAGCAACTTTTTCAAAATGATTTAAGTAATTATTTTCAGGCACTAAGTTATTTTCAGATTGTCAAAATACTGACAC